TAATTAACAGTTTGTAACAAATTAACCTGATAATATTGTTTTCGTTCAATTTTTAAAATCTAACACACATATCCTAAGTGTAGTTTGTAGTTTTATTTTTAGGCCCGAAAATTAGAATACTATTATATGGTATAACATTCAATTTTAAAATTGTTGAGATTCGAAGCGATTGCTGATTGCCAGAATTAGCCGAGTGCTAAATTATACAAAAATAATTGAATGATCTGACCGTTAATTATGTGGTATTTTAAATAACTTCATTATTTTAGGGCTCATAAAAAAAACCCCGGTTAAAAGTCTACTTACAGGTACCTACATAGTACAAGGTACATACTATACATATTGTATAGTTCATCGTTCTAGAATATGATTTATTTGAATTTTACAACCCACTAGCTAAACCTGAGCACTTCGTAGCTCATTAAAAATCCTACCTCCTATATGACATAAATTCGTTACCTGTGATTATGTTAGTAGTATATTTTTATAGATCTATATATATTATTATTATTAAAACTAATTTCAACCATCTGCAAACAAAAATTTCCATCGTAAATCTCAAAATGTCTGTTTGATCACTTCCCGGGTTTGGGCATATTACTTTTTAACTTAGCCTATCTTTTGCCCATAGGTCTAATATATCTCTGTACCAAATTTCGTCACAATTGGTATAGCCGTTTTGGAATGCATAAAGGACGAACAAACAGGAATTCATTACGAATTATTTTAAATTTTTCAAATTATCTACGCCCTCTTGATAACATAATTATGATTGTGTAAATTCCATTTGCCAATTATAAAACGAAATCAGTTTTCGGATCATTTTAACATTTACGCATCACTCGAATTGTTTTATTTATAAACCGTTGTATTAATAGCGGGTATGCATAAGTATTTATAATTCAATTCTCAAAATACAGATATATAGTCAAGATAGTTTCGCTTAAAATTTTAATTAATGAATAATTAGATCATTTAAAAATATAACATGAAAACTCTATTATACATTTATTATTATACAGTAAATGAAGTTAAGGAAACATATCAGTTATTGCTTTTATAACAAATTAGTTTTTTATCTGCATAAATTGCATTATGTTTTGTATTTAAATTATAAAAAAAAAAAAATCATTGAACAATTATTTTTATCTAAATGTTAAATTCGGAATCATTATTTAAGTTTAATGGAATAGAATACGATGTAAATTAAAAGCAAAGTAATTAAAATGATTTTATTAATATTAAACTTTTATGTATTATTTCCCAGCAGACAGTTAAGTAAATATAAAATTCAAAAATACTGAATGATTTTTTTTCGTCCAGATAATAACTTTAATACAATTTTCCAACGAAATTTATCGATACTTTTATACCTCCGTAAGATATAATATTCGATTGTGTAATTAATTATATTTATATTAGTATTTTAGTAAAATATTTAACTGACCAATACAATAATTCGATTATTGTGACTACGGTCAATCGCAATCGTTATGATTGAATAAGTTAAGAGAATTAAATATATCAATACCTGTATAGCTGTACTAGATGAATCTTAGTGTAATGATAATATTTTTGTTGACGAATTAAGACGGTAGTAACATTGAAGATAACATAATTTTAAAAAAATACACATTTTATATTATATTTTATATTATATAATATAAAAATTATATAATTATAATTTTATATTATTTTATATTATATTTCATATTTCCAGTGTATTACAGTTTGACGATTAATTTAAAAATACTGCATGAGAAGTTTAACAAAAGTGTACAACATTTAAAAATCAATATAGAATATAAGAAATGTTATTTAACTGAAATTGAAATAACATTATTTATTAAATATTTCAATACTACACGCAAAGAATGATTAAATATTAAAATTAGCATTTTTATATATTTATTTTATTTTCGATTACAACAATGCAACTGGAAATTCTTAAATTTTTTTTATCGATTAACCGAAATTAAAACGTACCGTAAGATTAAATATAACTGGATCCGTATTAAACTATTAAAATTGAATGGTGAAAATTAATCAGTTAAAATCAACGTAAATTTATATAACACGTGGAAACGAAAATCGAAATCGTTTTGGTTGTAGAAAATCGAACGAATTATCGAACAAGAATACCAAACCTACGGTCAAGGTAATATTTCTTGTTGACTTGTGTATACGGAAAGCGTTTTCGTTACTGTGAAATATTACACACCCATTATTTGTGAGCATATCATAGGTGTTGAAAGCGCACCCATGCTCGTGATAGTTTATTATTGAGACACTCTTGAAATAGGCACGCACACGCTTGAAATATTGCTCTTCTATTAGACTTTCAAATAATGGTCGGTGTCTTCAAAACGCCCACAGTATTGGAATATTTACTACATCCGGTTAAAACTAATCCTTCTAATCACCGTTCGAACTTCAACGGTAATTCACGGTGATACGAACAAAGTTAAACAATGATCCGTAATAAATGTCCGAATATCTCTTTTGTTGTTTGGATACAGTGAGTATACTGTATCATTATAATTCTAAAGGTATTTTCAATATTGATCCGAAAACTTGGGTGCTAATAATATTATTGTAATAACATAATTTTTCAAACTGTAACGAAAACGACTATCTACGTTTTAACTCTAAATAAATACTTACATCAAGGATCTTAAGTCTAAATATAAATATTTTAAAACAGATAAACGTAATGATATTGCTTACACCAACCTCCATCGTACATTTATATAGTCCGTCTTCATATTTTGTACAATATATCATATTATCAAGAAAAACAAATCAATGATCTTGAATTAAGTTCCAAAATTATTTATGTACAACTCTAATATTGCTCAAGAGATGATTCTGACTCAAGAGTACTTTTAAAACGTTTTTTATTAAAATGTGCTTTAAACAATTTACGTAGCCATAATATAGATGTACCTACCATATTTTATTTTGTTCTAAAAGTCGTAAACGTTTTATAGATTTTAAATAATTTATTCTATGCATTTTTAATTTGATGTTTTTCCTTAATCTGTTAGTTAATAGAATTGAGAACACACCAATATTTTAAAATTGTTTTATAAATAAATTATGACAATGAAACGAGGGTAATTACTACTTAGTAATATGTTCGATCACTTTATCTACTTGATTTTGCAAACATTAAATACTATAAATAATATAGCTTGTGTAAAAAAATAAAATATTTATTTAAATAAAAATAAAAATAATATCATGCACAAAAAAATTAAAAAAGGAAAATATAATATCGAAATGAATAGCTCTTCCTCACATCGATACGTTTTTACATCGAGGCGATCAAATCTAAACCTTATAATACCATTGTTAATTATTTAGTCGGAGTATAAACACTGTTTATTGAACAGCATATCGAGGGTTCATAAATATTAAACATAAATAAGATAAACTTACATTATAGATTAATGACCATAGGTCGGCGCATAACTAATGTAAAATGTTTCGATACCATTAAATAATCGTACATTAAATTAATAAACATGAAAAAGTTCGACGAATAAATAATATATAATATTGAGTAGTTAAAGATATTTCAGACATTCGTCTGCTGAGAGTTTATCTCATATACATTTCGGATGAAAATGTTTGTTTGATTATAATATTTTAGAAATCCAAGATGATGAGCTAAATGTTATTTTATTATTCGTCAATTGTTATATAAATATTGTGGTTAAATGTGAGGATTGTTTTTCCATTATTATTTATTATTATTTTTTATCCAGCACGATTTACTCGTATGTCAATACAAATTAGGTTCACGGTATGTTGTGTATATTGATTTTAAACATTCGAATAACGATTTGAACCGTGTATTGTATTATGGATTACGTAGTAATTCGTATTCAGTAAAATCTACTTAAGATGAAATCGCTCGGAACTGAAAAAATATGTAGTCCAAGACAAGTTTCCGGTTTATCTCTCGGATGTATATTTTACGGAAACATAATCGTAACGGAGCTAAACAGAATTTACTTTTTAATCCAGGTTTCACCACACACAATATGTGGTACACAACTTGAAAAGTGTATTAATATAAATTATAAAACATGTATGTCGTAAAAGCACTTTATGATTTATTCAATATATTACAGTGAGTTGTTAAAAAAAAAAAAAAAGGCACTAAGCAGAATACATGTGTGTAAAATATAAAAACAAAATTTTATCATACAAAATTGTATTATTTTATAACATTTAAATTAAAGACGTCACTATATAATATTATCGATGTATTATATATACAATAGTGTCTTTATACGAACATTTTAGATACTTTATTCTATATCTTATAATTAATACATTTAACGATCGGGACATTACAATATGGTAATTTTTTCCGTAATACTTTAATCACGTTTGTATGTTAAAATAGTTTTATTCGATTAGGATTACGAAAAATATTTTACACGTAGTCACATAATGTAATGGTTGTTATCTATATAAACATTATAATTAAATTTTATGTGACTACACATTATTACATCGTACTCGTACGTATTAAAATTATTTACATATATATGAAAAATATACAATTATTGAGCGATAAAGTTGTCATCAATTAGTCTAGAAAGTTATAAATTTAAAGAGTTATCTTTTACAATGGTAATGCAATTGTATTTTTTTTGTGTGGTAGATTTAATTTAAAAATAAATTATGCATTGCGGTCTACAGGAATAATTAGAAATTAAAAAAATACTGTACACTTTATATTATTTCGTAAAATAAAAGGAATTTTGAAAATCTTGAGTACACTTTATTTTCCTCGAAAATACTACGTAAGAGTATTTTATTTGTATTCTTCAAATTTAGTTTCTGAGTTCACAATTCTTAATTTTATAATAAAATACAACGATTATATTTTTAGTTGATTATATAATAAGCAGATTTATAGTAAAAATATTTGTTTTTCAATCGTTTTTTGTGAAAATAAAATAGTCTATAACAATTATGTCGTGAGATAATTTATAAAAGTATAACGACCGAGAACTAATGTAATTGTTTGAAACGTAACATTTTATGATTTAATTTGGTACACCTAAAAACATGTATATGAATTAGTAACATTTTTAAAAAGTATTTTTTTGAAAAAAATTCAAGCTGGTAGAAAAGAAAACATCATTATATACGTTATTAATAAACATTATAACTTTAAAACGTACATTTTAGCTTTTAGTTATATAACACTGCGTGTTAACTTTTTATGAGCGATTTTGGGGTATGCCGAGACATTTTATGTCTGACTGATATTTGTTCTTTCGAGTAATGCATTTTGTCTAAAAGTAATTGAACATCGTCCCGATGCACGGTCAACTCTCAGCTTGAACCGAAAACGGAATAACAAAACATTACATCGACGCACGTCCCGCGGAAAACCGACGCTCAACCGAGAAAACCCGTTTATAACGTATACACAAGTACTGTTTTCTTTTCTTTTCTTTTTTTTTTCAATTTTTATTCCTTTTATTTGTTTTCTTTTTTTAATCTAATTCAGACTTTTTTCTAACGATTTCTTCTTTCGCCCTGTATACCCGTGCACAACACGCGATTGTTTCGCACGCGCACGATCGGATACCGTAAGGGAAGGGGGAGAAATCAAACATTGTACAATACATACATAGACATTTATATTTTATAAAATCGAAAAAAAAAAAAAAAAAGAAACAACGAAAACGGAGCGGAGACCGCGAGAAAGAAGTTCGGTCACCGTCGCCGCCCTCGGAGCGAACGTGTTCGTCAGCGGCTGTGCGACGGGAGACGGACAGCGGCCGCGCCTCGCTAACAAGATCTCACCATCAGACTGGGCCCGGGTGCGAGCCGGTGGCCAACGGACGACGACTGCGGGTCCGGCACGAACGTCGTCATGCTGATGGTCACGGAGCTGCTGGTGGTCGGCCGCGCGGCTCGGTTGACGGGACGGTGTCCGGTGTACAGCTCTTGTCAGTCGGGGTCGTGGTGGCAGTCCAGCCACGCAATCGCGGCCACGGCGAACAGCACCAGCGACGTCAACGCCAGGTGGACGACGGCCATCCAGAACAGCGTAGGGTTGGAACTGCGGACAAAGCGACGGCAACGTAAGTATCGTTTAGATACGTAAGATCGGTTCGCGTTTTCGTTCTGTTCGACGGACGGCCGCGGAACGATGGTGGGATAGGGCGGGGGTGGGGGTTGACGATTAGAAAGTGTTGTGCAAACGCGTCCGCAACATTATTATGCAACGTGCATTAATTGTCGGTTATCACGTTGCTAGTGTTTTTACGATTATTTTACTACTAACCCAAGTCCTGTAGCAGAGGCGTGTTTACGAAGGGGGGCTGTTTTCACTCTACAAAACGTAAATTTTAGAAGCTCGTATTATCATCGTTTTATGAAATATTTGTGCCGATTCATTCAGGTTATGTAGTGCAGCTATTAGTTTTCTATTTATATCTAGGTATTTTATTTCATTAATTCTGTAAGACAGATAACATAATAAAAATTAAAACAGTTCACTGAAATTCAGAATTTTTCACAATATTTTTAATTGGTTGAACTGTGTAATTTTGTTGAGAGTCTCAGCCTCGCGAGAAAAAAAAATCTAAATACGCTCTTGCCCCGTGGTACGTTTCTATCCTTTCCCTGAACCAAGGACTTGAAAATAAGTACTACCACTGAACTGACCAAAAGAACGTACAAATGTTTTCACCAAATTTTGAACACGCATAAAAGTACTCTAACATTCCAAATGTCTTGAAAAATCCACCACGTAAATCAAAATGAAAACGGTGTAGAGATCAATAAAATTAGCAAAATAATTGCTATTAATAGATTTTTTCTTCAACACGTAACACGTGTTACTTCAATCTCATTGAATACATCCAATTTGCTTATCGTAATAATTTTTAAGAGTTTAATGATTTTAAATTGGCTTTTAATAATAATATTGAAAAAATAAAAATATTCGTTGCGATTTCGTTAACGTTGCTAAAGCCGACGCCATATTATCAAATTACACGTGGTAGTCAATGTTTACATCATGTGATAATCGGAACAAGCAGCCGGTATTATAATAATAATTTGTAAGACACGAGCTGTACGAGTACGTTTAAATAGACGTCTGTACATGAAATATCGGTCGAGAGAAAATTATTGAAATGAAAATTTCAAATCTGAAACATTTATTGTTCAACGAACGACGATAAATTAGTGATTTGACGTTCACTACAATTATACAAATGTCGGTCGGCGCGTCATTGCATATTATGGTATGTTATCTATTTGTAATGTTCTCACTATGTTTGCGGTCAATTCATTAATTTTCTACAGCCTGGAGTCGACCTATCGACTTTGGTAGTCGTCCCAACTTATCGGGTTCAGAGCACACGATAGTATGGTATGGAAATGCGTCCGAAATATTGATCCAAACGCTCGCATAAGTATGCTCAGATGCTAGAAAAACGAATGATGGAGGAGCTCATCGGACACTAACATACTCACACGGGTACCTACTAACACACAAACACACACACATGCTGTATTTATATAGGGTAAATTTATAGTTTTAATGGTACGGATAAATCGAACAAGCCAATTTAGAATCGGAGGCGTGTTCAGGATCATAATTCAGTACTGGCCCGGTTATGAGAATAAGTATTAATTAATATAATATTTACATTGTTATTTTTTAAAGGAATTTTATATATTTTTTTAAAGTACACTTTGTAGTTAATCATAATATAATATAGTCATGATAACAACTATATAAATAATATTTATTTAGTAAATTGGTTGAATTGGTTGTTCATCACTATTTAAACTTATATCGAGCGCTTAGATGCGTTAGAAATCAAATTAACGTTCAGTTTAGTATTTTGTTCTTGAGGTTCATCTACTATATTGTCCTTTTGAATTAGGAATAGGTTTAAAATATTTGCTAATCATTTTAATATAAAATATTAACAATAAACAAAATACAAGAAACAATTTACAATTCTAAAATATTCAAAAGCGCTAAACGAAAACGTTCACTCACTGGATACGGACTCGGTTGTCAAAATTGACATACTGATATAACATATCATATACCAAATAAATCATACATGATTGTTAATTGTTCGTGGATGCGTGTTTTCCCTGGAAGCGCTTGAAGATCGCCTTTAATTAAATTTATAGTTAGATAATTGTTCAAGACTCGAAATATAATTGACGCACGGCCAATGGGCACTTACAAAGTACACCGATGTATTCTCATTTCAGTATTTCACATTCAGTGCTCGGTGCGTTTAACACAAAAAAAAAAAAAAATCGAAAATTCAAGTTTATAATTTAAAGATATTCATTTAAAATGCATGTTTTGGGTATACTTAATGGTCGAATTAAGGGGTAGACCTGTGCCTATCCGCTGGACACGCCTCCGTGTAGAATGTGATTATCTAAGTAAATTCCATAGAAATATCACAAAATGTTTAATTTGTTTGTAATCTTTTCAAGTCAATATTATCACAGCGCAGGTGAACACATTCGCACATCCGCAACAACTACATCTTTGCGCACCTAGATTTCTCGGTAACGATGTACATGATCGAAATTCGATTGTGGTAATTTTTTATGTGCGAACGGTGTATGCGGTACATGCATTTGTATTGTTTACAATCGACGACGGTGTAGCATGGCAAAACACAACACAGTGAGCAAAATCGAGTGCAGATGGTTTGAAACCGTTAAAACAATTATCGAGCGTGAAGACATTCTTAATACACGGTTATACGATCTGCGCAGCTGTTGAGCGTTAATGTGATATTAACGTCAAAACTTAACCGATAGATTTAATGCGTTCGACCGATTCGAACGAATAGTAATGTTTTCATGCAGAAGTAGAAGTAAACTAATCGAACTTACAATTCTGTAGCGTGTCATATGAACGCGTATATTACACTAGGCACCATTGTAGATTATAGTATATAATGCTTATATATATTTATAGTATATAATATTCTTAAAATTGTTATACTCTCAAGATAGTCATTGCGATCACGATTACAATGCAACATAATGTCTGTATAGTAGTATCAGGGAAAATACTATATTGGATAGGTTAAGGTATTATTAAGTGCATCCTATTTCTTTTCATGATTATTTCGAATATGGTACATATTTATTATTTACCCAAGGATAAAAAGGAAAAAAAATTCAATTTCAATATTGAATATACACGTTGCCCGACTGCGTGTCGTAACGTCTCTTGATTGATTGAAGATTGTTAAGTAGTACGTTTTGATTCATGGAACCAAATCAAGGATAACTTTTATGCCCGGTGACCGTCAACAGTTCAAGTGCTGATAGTGTGAAAATACTATACATCGGTTCGCCTATCATTTTCTTGTCACTTACTTCGTTACATTTCTTGGAATAAACGGATGACACGTGTGTAAATAAGTACGTCAAATGACTTCTCATCTGTGTTCCCCAGACGATTGATGGTAGTTTTTTTTACTTCAGTTAAATGTGTCATATAAAAATATCCACGTTGTACGTTATATTGGATTTGTGTCATTAAAGTGATGATTTAGAGCAAAAAAAAACGAATTTCGTTTACATGTCGAATGTGCATTTGTCACATTTACCATTGTGATGGATTTATTTTCCAATGATTCGCTGTTTGGGGTACTTGTTAATTCTTACCAACAATACGATAGTTTTATCCATGCTACGCACACATCGCTTCGGAAAAATACACTTTAAGATCATATTTCACTCGTTGGAATCTATAATCTCAAATGGCTGAACAATTCTATGATCAGGCAAACCATAAGTTTAGATTTATTAATAATTATTTAAATAGGAGTTAACTATCAGCAACGTGGTACGCAGTAGTATCGAAAAGTTCCAAAAAACATCCAAACGAATATCATTAGATACTACACATTTGACTTGACAATATTAATTTCGTATACTGTTATCGAACATAATTGGGATCCACTATTTGCGCATAACTAAAGATGCTTTGTTACATAACACAAACTACTGGTGCTTAGGTAAGAATAAGCAAATTCAGAAGCATTGCGTAGTCATATTGAACTTTTTGTTGTTTGAGAGAATACATATTTTTATTTTTGTTCGGCAAAGAAAATTATTACCATAGAAATGTATTTTGTTTACTATTAAAACTGTTATTTTTTGAATACAGAAAACGTATAAAATAAGTGTAACATTTTTGAAAATCAAATTGAAACCGTTTGTTTATGTACACAACGAAAAAGTTGTTGAACATATTCGACACATTGAATTTGTAAAAGCAAATAAATAAATACTGTTAAAAAAACTATTGTTTTTCTTTCTATTTATCCTATTTCTATTCTCCAAAACGGTTTGAATGGTTTGAGTAACTAACTATATATTTAATAAACTAAAGCACACTATTTTATTGATCGAATCGATTATGGCTTAGAATGGAATTGTAAGTAGTCTCAATTTGGATAGAAATAGTGCACGGAACAAAAATGTTTAAAAAAAAAAAATAGAATAATATACTACGGTTGTTTGATATTTATGTAAAAACATTAGGTATGGGTTCGTATAGAAATTTTGAAGTTCATATCGCGTTCTGTTGGATCCAAGCAATATTTATGAACCATTATTACAACTAACATTTAAACAATGAGGCGGTTACCGCTTTTGATCGTAAAGCTACTATCAGGGTTATTATATTGTTATGGTTATTGCTATATTTTAAAGCCAACTAGTAAAAGATCAGTTCGGTCGATCCACGCTGCGATACATTTTTTGGATGTTTGTTAATATTTTTGTTTATTTATTTCTTTTTGTAAGTTTGTTTTTTATGTTATAACGTTCAATATACGTATATTGAATTTAAAAATCATGTAATTAATACGATTTTTTAAAAACTCTCCAAAAAAGAGGAATGCTATTTAGCATTTATATGTAAATTGTATTTTCCTCTTAAAAGTATAAAATATGTAAGAAAAATTCAAATTTCGAAGAAAGTCAGCAAGTCAAGGTTTTGCGACAGCAGTACATATATTGTTTGCGAAGAAAAAAGTAATGTAACGTATA